TGAATGGAGGACAGGGCAGGACCAAGGGCTCTGGGGCACAATAAGATCCTTAGAGAGAGCATGAGCTCGGATTCATCCCTGGCCCAAATCCGCTACCACTGAAGCAGAGGCTGGGTGGTCAGGCCCATGGCCCACTGGGGTAAGACACCAGTGGGAGCCGTGGAAGCTGGGGAAGCTGGAAGGCAATGGTGGGGGACTTAGCGGAGCCCAAGCTCACTGACCAGCAGCACCACTACAAGTGGAAGCGTGATATTACTGCACTCGTACACGTGCACTGTGGCTCAAGCACTGGTACTACATTCAACTGCCCCGTGTCCTCTGAACCTCCTGCCTGCCTCCTGGGGGTAGTCAGCCCTCTGTTGACCATGCAGATTTATTCTAAGAAAGGCCAACTATCAACACGCCCACATTTGTGGGCCTCAAATTCTGTTCGGCTACCCAATTCTGTATGGGCACAAAAACAGCCACAGACAGCGTGCAAAGGCATGGCTATGTGCCAGCAAATCTCCATCAGGAATACTGAAACCCAGATTTCATACATTTCTCACATGCGGAAAATACCCTTAGTGTTATTAGTTTCCCCGACATTTAAAAGTGCAAAACAATTCTTAGCTAACAAGCAGTGGGCTAGACCTGGCCACAGGCAAGCACCACATCCCATGTGTGGAGTGGCACTCTGGGGTTCACGTGGCTGCTGGGGTGGCTGCAGCCAGGACACCATTTCCTGCACTCACTTTGCTGGACACCTTTTCAAAGCAATGTTAACACAGAGCTCTATGAAGGGGCTCTGTGCTCACTTCTTAAACCAAAGTTTCCGGGTACTAAAAAAAGAAATTGGAAGTTGACATGTTTATATCAGTTTTACAGTTCCCAATCCACCGTGGCTTCCATTTTACGGCCTATCAAATTAATATCTATCTATCTATCTATCTATCTATCTATCTATCTATCTTTAGAAATATAATTTACACTGCCATCTAGTATTAAGTAACTATTTTAATGGGGACATTTTGAAGGTTTTCTGCACATTGTGCTTCAGGGTAATTATTTAATACATTCCAAAATAATACAATGAAATGCATTTAGAAGGATAAAACTGCCTACATTAACTGTAAGTGCAAAATAGCACTAAGAACTTTAAAACTCCCTGGGGGTGTATTTTCTCTGTTTAAGAGTTTATATGCTATATCTCCACTTTTGAACATACTGACAAAGTTAAGAAATAAAGACAGAGAACCCCCCATGGATTCCTTCTATAGTCTACCTGAGAGGAAGGCTCCTAGAGTAAGGTTTCCGTCTTGCTGAAATGAAGCCTGAAGAAGAGGCTCCTCGTCGGCCGCCTCCTGCATCAAGCGCAGCTTTTCCGCCCGTCCACACGGTGTACCTGATGAGCGCACCCACAGTAAAGGCTGCTGCAGCCAGGAAGGGGGAGATGGCCGCTGCTCTGTGGGCTCCTGAGTGCCGGGGCTGGAAGCTGTCCCAGGAGCTGTTTTGGCCACAGTGCTTTCTTTCTACGTCTACCTAGTCTTTCCAAATGGCACTTTAGGTGGTTTAGAACATCCTTTCTCCTATATAGTGAGCATCTGCTGAGCAAGAGGCTGTCTTTTTCAGGTCCGCCTGTTTGATACAGAATAAGCGCTCAGGAGGAGCAGGTCAGGAGCTGAGTGGGGGTGGCAGACAGGTAACTGCAGATTTCTCTTTTTAATGCAAAATAGGGACAAGTAAGACAAAATGGCTAAAGACAGAATCCTGAGCAGATGGACAAAGTAAAAAAAAAAAAATGGAATAGTCAACCAAAACTTTCAGTTGGTCTTCTGCATTCGTGAACATGTTCCCTTTAGCAGATTCAACTACTGAAAAAATAAAAATAAAGCGTACAGGTGAAAATAAATGCATCTGTAATGAGCAGGAAAGCCCCTTTCTCCTGGCTGGTCCCTACACAATATGGTATGACACCTCCGACACAGCTCCTATCTTCTATTAGGCACCACCAGGAACCTAGACGGGACTTCATGCCCTTACATTGGGGCTTGAGCATCCAAGGACTAGTGCCCTGGCTGGAGGGCGGCTCTGAGACCCAAGCTCTTGCAGCTCCCAAAGGTGACTGTACTACTCTAAAGGAAGGAAGTCTGAGAGTGAGAGATCTGAAGAAATGGAGAAATTGTAAGAGCTGAGAAAAGGCCAGGGAAGTATTTACCAGACAAAGATAAATTTAAAATGCAGCGAGTTACCACCTCAGACTTCAGCTACAATCATTTACAATTAAAGAGCCTATCCACACTAAACACCTGCAAGGACCAGGATGCACACAACTCCTGAGCACAGCTACTGGGAGAGTGAAGACTACTTTAGAAAACTGTTTGGTAGTTATTTTAAAGGCAAGTGCATACACTGCCACACGTGCGACCCAGAAATCTCACTCTGAGATGTGTGTTCAACAAATATATACATCCAAGACCAGATGCACTGAAGAGCCACCTCACAGCCCTTTATTTGTTGTAGCCCTCAATTAGGAATGCTTCAACCTTCCTTGTTAGAGAAATAAACTGTGGCAGTCTGATGATGAATGGCATGGCAAGAGAGAAGAACACTGGCACTACAGAGATACGCTGTGTGAAAGGAAGAAGACACACAAGACAGTGTACTATGGGGCCGGGGAGATGGCTCAGTAAAATAAGTGCTTCCCTGGCAAGCACAAGGGTCTGAACTCAATCTGTAAAAAAAAAAAAAAAAAAAGTACAAGATCTTAAGAAAAAAAAGACTGTATTATGACTCCAGTCTGTACTCAGTTTCAGAAAATGCCACTGAGTTTGCTGATTAGAAAGCCACAGATGAACTCTGGAAGGAAAGCTTCAGAACAGCAGTGGAAACTGAGGCCCACCTTTAGCATCTGGGAGGAGTCTGTGGCAGGGAAGCCACGGGTTATGAGCCAGGGCCAGCAAGCCACAGCTACCCCGCAGGTGTGCTTGTACAGTCTGACAGCTAAGAACGGCTTTAACATTTTTGAAAGATTGCAAAAGAAAGCAGTAAACAAAACAGAAAACAAAGGACGATATGTGAGTGACAGACAGCAACGAGGGCCAGAACCTAGTGCGCCTCCTCTCTGGCCCTTTCAGAAGGCTGATCCCTGGTACACACTTTCTCCCTGTGTTGGGCACCAGGTGAAACAGACAGTGATGATGTGTGGGACATAAGAAGGAAGCAAGGGCGAGTGTGTGCTCTGACGGGAAGAGGGAAACAGCCTGCTCATCAGGAGCAGATGGGAATCATCAACGCAGCAACATTACAGAGAAGAGACAAGACAGCGACCCTAAGAACAGAGGGAACTGTTCCCCTACAGAGAGTGGTACCTGACAGCGACTGTGCAGGGGCTGGCTCCCCACTTGAGAGAGGAGACCCGATGCCGTATCCAGGCCCTATCCGACCACTCCGTGAAGCCGAAAACCTTCCCAGCATTTCCAATCCTGGGACTTCTCTACTCTTTCTGGTGTATAGCACCTGCCGCCTGAGTTACTATACATTTGGTGCTTGTTTTTGCCCAGCCTTAGAATACAAGCTCCACAAATGTACCAGGATTTTTTTCATTTCTGATGTGCCCTAGGACAGTTCCAGGCACCGAGCAGGCATTCAACAAACATTTAGTGAATGAGAGGGTGAATCTTCAGAAAGAGAAGGGTGAGGCTGGAGCAAGGTCTCCGTGCCACCGGCCTCTGTGGCAGAGGCTGCCCCCTTGTGCAGAGCTGTCCTGCGCACTGTAAAGCACAGCACAGCACCAGCCTCCACCACAAGGTCCCAGGAGCACTTCTCTAACCAGTTTTGACAAAGATGTCTCTAAATATCAGCAGGCTTTCCCCCAAATCAGCCACACTGAGAACCACTGGGCTAGAGGCAGACTCAGGATGGCGGAGTTGCTCATTCATTCACTTGGCAAATATTTATTCACAGAGCTCTGACTTTGTCAAGAGCTGACAAAGTCAGACGATCAACTCTGAACTCTAATTCCTATAAACTATAACTATTATAAATGAGAAAGTACTACTATCATCAAATAATTATAAACTGTGATTTGTGTTATGGTAAGCCAATACAGTAACAGAGCTAACAGAAGAGCTCTGCTCATGAAGGGTGGCGGGAGAAGGCTTCTCAGAAGATGGTGCTGGAGTGTGAAGGAGACACGAGGAGAGGGCGACAGGATGCGTCCGGAAGGCAGCTGGGCAGGGGCACCACGACAGGCGGTGAGGCAGGTGGAGCCTGAAGTGAGGTCAGAGCACCAGGGCAAAGCCATGGTATGGGCTGGTACGCACGCTGACTCCGCGGGTATTCACAGTGGGTCGGCTCTGGTGGGCACAGTCCAGCGGGAGCTTTAAAAAGACTACGGCTGCTCAGTGGTAGAAGCCAGACCCAGGCACCAGGAGGAATGTGGCAGGAGCCACAGGATGGGATGAATCAAGGCCAAACCAAAGTGGCCATCCTTCTGCCTGTAGCAAGGGTCAAAAGTCTGTGAGAGGGACAAAGGAAGATGGCTAGTGGGCCTGAGACTGGGCAGTGGTGGGGAAGGGAGGGACAAGAAGGTGAGGGAAAGAAGTATGTTCATGAGGGCATCGCCAGACAGCAAAGCTGTGGTCCCAGGATGGGGCAGCAAGACAGGAAAAGGTAGCCAAACAGCTCGAAAGCCTTGCTCCTCACTGGTTCACGAGATAAAGACACAGGAGTGTCCCAATTCGTGTACTGCACCGTGAGTGTGCAGAGTGTCATTCACTAGGAAAGCACGGGGCCTGCAGAGATCGACAGACCAGAGGAGGCCGCTGTGGCGGCTCCTTGCTGAGCCATGGCAGGGCAGAGACCTGGCTCTAGGACCTTGCTTTACACGGATATATTCTTCCACCATGCAGTTCTCAGCTGTCAAGGAAAATATGGGACAAAACGCCCTGAAACAATGGCAGTATAGGTATAAAAGAGAACAGAGTCCCCAAAGTCATGGCAAAAAAGTATGCACTTACCTGTAAGCATTAATATAATCTTTCCTGTGTTCCAGAAGAAAATCTTTCAGTTTGCCAATGTGAGAAATCTAAAATTAAAAAAGTAAACAGCAGATTACAAACATGTAATAAACGTTTAGATTCTTGTGTAGTCAGAAAGTTGTGACCTGGTCTCTAGCAGCGGCCCCTCTTCACCGTGGTGATCTGTGACATCAGGGACAGGGAAGCTCTCAGGAACATCTGCTAACTGCGTGGCAGGAGGTCAACAAAGGTCAACACACTTCCTGCATGTCTCATACCTCCTCTTTTACAAGTATCCCTTCCCAAGTGGCCTGGGGGTGGATGCGAAACCTGGAGCTACAGAGGTATGAAAAGGGCCCCTTAGAGCAGCTGGGGTGGACGTTTGGGAAGATGAGTTATCTCTGCCGTCCCTCTGTCAGCTTCCAGGTATGAGTAAAGGGAACACCAGGCACAGGTACAAGACTCTCTGCTGTGCTGGCCGATGGCTGGTCTAACACAACCCACCCTACAGTGTTCACCATGTGCCTAGTACTGTGTGTGGAGCCAGGGAATCACACTAAACAAAACAATGAGGAGTAGGGAGGAACCCCAGCTCCCAGTTGCCAGGCACGTAAGCATTTCCAGAAGTGGAGGACAATTAACTAGCCATGGCTGCATCTTCCTCCGACAACCATTCACTCTCTTCCCCTTCTCCCACCTTGTATTCCTACCAAGCATGCAGGGCCAGCCCTCAAAGGTCTGAACTTTCATCCCTTCTAGAAAGCTTTTCTGCCAAGGCCAACTTAGCCTAACTTTCACCACGCTCTGAACTTGAAAGGGCTCTGCATGCCACCCACTTGGCACTCATTACACCTGACGACGCACTGACTTCACTTTTACACCCATGCTTCGGTCACATTCAGGATGTCACAGGAAGGGGCTGCACAGTATTCTCTGCAGCTCTAGGCTTAGGTGGCACAAAACAAGATCAACAAACACCTGTGGGATAAAAATGTCTAAACACAACACAGCACCTTTCACAAAAGAAGACATTCCACACAGCTGAGGCTATTATTATAGATGTGGTTCCAAAAGGTGCCCTAAGGCTCTTAAGGGCAGGAATCAGAATAGTAGAAGTGGCTATCACATTTGCACAGTGGACGGGTGAGCAGGGCCAGTCTCCCCAGCACCATGCTGTTGGCCCTTTCACACTCCTGTCCTCCTGCTTCGCAACACGTGGGCCATGATGGTCACCATGCTCGCTAACAGCGTCAGGAAAGCGGACCTCACACACAGATTGGTTTGCCCAGGGCCACCCGTCCCTCCTTGTGCAGGGCTCAGCATCAAGCACAGGGCTGAGTCCAAAATTGGTGTATTTTCCAGTATATCACAGCTGTCCTCACATTCTGCTCCTCTGTTCCACTTCAGCTACATTATGAAATCTCACCTTTAAGTCTGTTTTTTTTTTGTTGTTGTTGTTTTGTTTTGTTTTTTTTCTACCAGGTTTAGAAATCAAGACCTTATACTTGCCTGGCAGGGACATAAGCTGCTGAGCTATGTTCCCAGCCCCGTTAAAAATTTTAAGAGGGGGCCAGGGAGATGGCTCAGTGGAATAAGCACTTCCCTGGCAAGTGCAAGGGCCTGAGTTCAATCCCTGGTTCCACAAAAAAAAAAAAAAAA